TCATTTTACTGTGCCATGCATGATACGTGCAGTCCATAAAGGTTAGCGTGTCCTGGTTGGTAGGCCAGATGCTGATGTGGAGAAGGATGAAGTAGATTTGGGAGTGGGCAGCAGTGGATCAGTTGATGAACCAGGCCTGGACTGTGGAGAACTCCACGGAAGCTCCAAACTGGATGTCGTAAGAGGTTCAGCCATATTCATCACCCTTTTCATCATCTTCATGAGTTCTGGCACATCTATGTACAGTAAATTAATAAAAAATGGTTACAAAAATTTTTACCAGAAGGGGCTTTTTCAAATAGACTGGACTTTTTTCACCGTAAGCGACTGAAGGTGGTGCATGAGTGTGCACTGCAAGGAATTCCTGTGTAGGGTCTTTCTTTCCAGGAGCCGTTGACTTCTGGACATGAAGAAATAGAAGGGAGAGCGGGAGGTCTGGAGGAAGTTGTCGAGAGCCGTGGGTGCAGGTGGGCTGCAACCAGCGGTTCCATCGGCATCATGAGTAGCATGCCAGCCTTATCCATACCCTCAAAGTCCAACTAGGAGGCTCCTTGGACAGGAGACCTGGAGCTGAAAGGGTGCTTGTCCCAGGATCCAAGGCACATACAACCAGGAGGAGGCCTAAAGGGAGACCCAGGATACGTTGAAGGGACTATGTCTCTCACCTGGCCAGGGAACGCCTTGGGATATCCCCGGAGGAGCTGGCCCAAATGGCTGGGGAGAGGGAAGTCTGGGACTCTCGATTTACACTCCTGCCCCTGCAACCCGACTCCAGATAAGCGGATGAAGATGATAAGCGGATGAGAATGGATGGATGCGGATGAGGATGATAAGCGGATGAGGATGGATGGATGGATGGATGGATGGATGGATGGATGGAGAGCCACACAATATGAGGAGGTGAAGATGCGCCTGAACGGGGACATCCATTTTGGCTATTATAAATTACACAGCATCCTACTGGTGTTATTTTTATTATCAGCACATATAAAATAAACATCACAACATTTTATGATTCTTTATAGTTTCAGTGTTTTCAGCAGCAGAGCTTGGTTATAGATAATGTATTTTAAATAATAAATAATGCAACACACTTTATTATGTTTGCCAAATGAATGATGAATTGTCTTTAGATTGGTTATGAGGAGGAAATGCAAAGTATGTGAGAATCTAGACTGGTTTATATATCTTTAAATATTTTATCTATTCAATATTTGAATTGTGTTCCTCACAGGAATGTGAAGATTCCACCCAAACAGATGAGCAGTTAGCAGAACTCATCACAGTGCAACAAGTGAGACAAATCTCTACATCTGTTCATCAACAGCAACAATGTCTTGTTCTTGTGTGTCATTCTTAGGAAGGTTATAAAGACTATAGTCAGAGAGGAGAACCTCAAACATGTTCACTGGTAAGAAACAATGCAACATGCTCCCCCTCCATGGCTCTTTTTTTAAAGAGTGGTTCATTTGTACTGTATACTTTTCAGGCAAACAATGAAGATTCAACCCAAAGACAAGAACAAAGAACAGAAACGGTCACAATGGTACAGGTTAGTCTTCAGGTTAATTATGGTTTTAACATAGATTTTTTTATTGGGTTGGGCATCGAGCATCGATTGGAACTGGATCCAACTGTTAGTTTTTCCCGGGCTCATTCAAAGTTTTTTATTTTGATTCCTAGTTTCGATTCCTAGAATGGCGACCGGAAGAGGAATCTGCGGCCGATCTCTGTGAAAAATAAACGTGATCTGCAAATTGTGATCACACCAGCCTTCAGTGTGCAGCACCGAGTCCCCCCCAAATTTAGTATTTGGCCAGTATTGTGTTGCATTAATGCAGGGTTTCCCCCAGCGCTTTATAAGCCTGGCGGCCTGCCGGGCTTTGCTTGGCCACCCGCCAGGCTAAGCGTCATGTCCCGCCTCCCTCCCCGACACACGAACGGCGCAACAAAACTAGAGCCCTCCATCAGCTGATACTGGTGAGTAACAGCAGCGGAACGTGTGCACTGTTCACTATCCCACAGGCTTTCATGAAGCCATAAATGCTCATCAGATAGTTGGGCCATGTATGTACATACATTGTCCATACTTTACCTCAATTGTATGTCAGCTACTGAATACATACTATTGTAAATGATTCAGTCAAAATTTGATGGTGGAGCTAATGATTTTAGGTTTCTGAGCTGGGTGGGAAATATTTCGGTCAAAACATTTTGCAGTGCATTTTCACAACATTTAAAATTTTCAAAGTCGTTCCGTAAGAGTAGTGGTATAGTGTTGAAACAGTCCTTAAAGCCCTGTCATAATGAATTTGGGTCGTGTAAAAAAAACACTAGGCTATATATATATATATGTTTATATATATATATATATATATATATATATATATATATATATATATATATATATATATATATATATATATATATATATATACATATATGACCTCCGTGAAGAGAATACCTCTCCAACGTGCCAGGCGCCATCGAATGTGAGCATTTGCCCACTCAAGTCTGTTACGGCGACGAGCTGGAGTCAGGTCAAGACCCCGATGAGGATGACGAGCATGCAGTTGAGCTTCCCTGAGACGGTTTCTGACAGTTTGTGCAGAAATTGTTTATTTATGCAAACTAATTTTTTCAGCAGCTGTCTGAGTGGCTGGTCTCAGACAATCCTGGAGGTGAACCTGCTGGATGTGGAGGTCCTGGGCTGGTGTGGTTACACGTCATCTGCGGTTGTGAAGCCGGTTGGATGTACTGCCATATTCTCTGAAATGCCTTTAGAGACGGTATATGGTGGAAAAATGAACATTCAATGCACAAGCAACAGATCTGGTTGACATTCCTGTTGTTAGCATGCCAATTGCACGCTCCCTCAGTGCTTGTGGCATCTCTGGCATTTTGCTGTGAGACAAAACTGCACATTCCAGGGTGGCCTTTTATTGTGGGCAGTATAAGGTACACCTGTGCACTACTCATGAAGTCAGATCAGCATCTTGTATTACTATCACACATTTAGACTGATTTGTGAACAATGTTTGAGAGAAATGGTAATATTGTGTATCTGGAATGAATTTTAGATTTTAAGTCCATCTCATGAAAAATCGGAGCAGAAACAAAGGTATTGCATTTATATTTTTGTTGAGTGTAGGTTAAAATAAGTTTACAATGCAATTTTAACACTCCATGCTTTACTGTGGGGGATGTTTCCAGAACTATGCAGTCCAAATGTGCAGACCCAGAGGACTTCACCTGGAGGGGCAGTGGGTTTTTCTGGGGGGGGGCAGTAAACCGTGTTTTTATCAACCCCTTTGCATGTTTATAATCTGTCTGGTGGACGTTACATACATATACTTCCGGGTCAAATCGGCCGTTTGCGTCACCAACTTGTTCTACATAAATAACTGAAAAGCTAAGATTCTTCATTATTTAATTCCGATTATGTATGCCAATTAAAGATGCAATCAAAACTTGACAAAGTAACCAATTTTACTGAACCTCTTAGAAAAATACTTGCAACTCTCCGTTCTGAGCTGCGCCTGTGCACCACAGAGTCACCATCTCAAAACAATCCTTACGTCCAGTTAATGTTCTCCAATAACGTACTTAGTCCACAAGTCTTCTTCCAAATCCTGCCCTGCAGCTTGATACCTTAGTAAATTCTTCTTTTTGCACGTATTTCTCATAATGTTTACATCACAAATACTAGTTAGCATCAGGTTAGCATGCTACTCCTTGGCTGCGTGCTTCTTCTTCTTGGTAAACATTGACTTGGTGCGTTACCGCTACCAGTAAGAAGTGTAAACTAGGTCTTCTAAACAAGATTTAGAAAATCTAGACTGTTTTCTTTCTAAAAAGAGAACAGACAACCCTGAATTTAAGATGGTTCAAAAACAGTTTGAACTTTAATATGCGTTTTAAAACATTTGAATCAAAAGGACAGCAGACACCCCTGAGACTGTGCTGGAGGCACGGAGAGAGGAGGAACAGAAGCGCTTGTAGCTGCAACTTCTGGCTGCACTTGCCTTTTTGATGATGCATCATCCCTGCTTGTGCTAGCATTGTTTTTCTGTTTGCTAATCCAAGCTCTGATATCCATTTTAGCAAGCTACTGTACCAAAGCGTCTTCTTCTACTGCAGCTAAAACTGTCGATTAGTAACCTAGAGCGCCCTCTGTTGATCATCTTGAGCCAATACATTTGCATGAGGCGTTGTAATCTGTCCTGGGCGGGCCAGATTGGCAAATGGCCACGCCGGGCTTGCAAATGTGCCTTTGGAGTAAGTTCTGAGAAGTATGGGGAAAGGTTCAGTTCCTCTCTGTCCTGACGTGTGCAAAAAGGGGCTGGTTCCTGAAAAGGTTCTAGGAACTACAAAAGGTTCTTACAATCTGAATGAAAGATCTGTGGGGTTATTGTGCTTCCTGACCCTCTGACCACTTTATTTGGAGTCGTCGCTGTGGACTCTCCTTTTGACACTCCCTACCTGCAGATGAAGTCCACACAAGCATGTTGCTGTCTGCTGCCCTAGGGATTCTCACCCTCCAGCATACAGCCACTGGGGGGCAGAGATGAGGTTCCACATGGAGAGATCAGATGCACTTTAAGACAGTTTACATGCTGTGTGGTCATTCTTTATGTTGTACTGTGATAGTTTGTCTGTGGGTGATTTTTTTATGTTGTCTTTTGTGATTGTTTCCTTATGTGGGATTGCTTTGATTTAGTTAAACACTAACACCTGTTTTGTGTTTGCTTTGAGTTTGATGCAAGTCAGGTACTGAAGAATACACAGAGGTGTGGAGTCTGTAGGGTGAGACACACTTTAGCAGAAAGACGGGCAGCGTGGGGGCTGAATGGGACTCTTTATCCTTTTGCTTCTAAGTGTTGTATATACATGGGTCAACAGTAGGAGGTAGCCTGCAGATGTGTGTGCATGTGTGTGCGTGTGTGTGTGTGTGTGTGTGTGGGGGGGGGGGGGGGGGGGTTAAAGATGGAAAACGGGCGTCCCTCCAATAGTCCCTCCCTAGGCCTGCCCTCCACACTGAGAGTACCCGATCCCAGACCTGGAAAACTCATTCAGTCTGGTTTGAATGGAGCGTCTCTGACGGAGCACCGAGGACTAACTTCTCCTTCAACAGAAACCATGAGAGTTCTGCAGCTGGTACTGATCAGCTCCCTGCTGACCCTGATCAGCCTCCCTGGTCCTGGTCATGGAGGTAGGTGCTGCGCGCGCACGCACACACACACACACACACACACACACACACGCGCGCGCGCGCACACACACACACAAAACTAATGTTAGCTTGAATCAGCTAACTGTAGCTTTAATTAGAAACAGATCCAGCCTTTTTCCTTTTACTTCTGTCATTCTTTTAAGATTTTTCTTTTCCTGGATGACACTTAATCCATCTAAGGAACAATGCCACAGTCTGACCCTGGTCTTAGGTCTGAGACAACGGCTGCTGGTTTCCGATCCAACTCCTGCTTTTCTTTTCTGGCCCTTTGGTCTTCTGAATTTTGTGAGTGTATCTTTTCTGGAGAATGTTTGCTGTAAAAGCCTGTTGCCAAAAGGCAGGAGGACTCCTGCAACTCAGAGGTCCCTCTGTTGACTGTAATGAATGGTTCTATGAAAGGCGAGCGTGCAGTGGCAGGCAGGGCGGCTCCTCATTCATCCCAGAGATGAGATGAAAGTAAGAGAGGAGGTTTGGGGCTAGTAAATGTGTCAGAGAGGCAGTGTGAAGCTGTTGGATTGCCCAGGCCTAAACAATGGTGCCATAGAGGAGCTGCAGGGCTGCAGGTAAAACCTCCTAGTGTGAAATGATGCAACTCCTCCATTCTGCTACATTTAAGCACAGTTAGCTGGAAAACAAACTGTGGCCCTACAGATTTCTGCATCTGAAAAGTTGGCCCCTTTCCCACCCCCCATTGATCTAAAAGTGTACTTGCAAATTCGATTGAAGCCTCTGCAAAGTTCTCAAGGAGAGGCAGATCAGGTTAGTTTCTGAGTCAGCGCTCAGCTGACCCACCAAACTGCAAAATAAAACTATGGAAACGCTACGTAGACGCCATACTGGAAATCATACCAAAAGGACAAACAGAAACACTAACACACTTGAATAACATTGATGACACAGGCAGCATAAAGTTCACTTATGAGTCAGAAACAGAAGGCAGCATAGCATTTATGGATATGAAAATCACCAGGCAGACCGACGGGACCCTAAACATAAACACATACAGGAAACCAACACACAGACCAATATTTATTATGGACATCAGAACACCCCACCATACACAAAATGTCAGTAATCAGAACATTATATCACCGAACAAACATAATAACAGAAAGAAAGAGACCGTAAACAAGAGGACAAACACATACAACATGCTTTAAAGACCTGCGGATACCCGACATGGGCAATAAACAAAGGAAAACAACAAACAACAACAGCAAGAAAAGAACAACTTAAGCAAAGAACCAGAAACCCAGAAAGACAAGAACCAGAACCAGTGATAACCTTACCATTCTTTAAAGGCATAACAGAAAAAATAAGAGCAACAATGAAAAAACACAACATAAACACACCAACAAAACCATACACAACAGTTAGAAACAGACTAGTACACCCAAAAGACAAAATATCAGCTGGACTTAAATGTGGAGTCATTTACGAAATCCCATGCAAACTCTGCAATAAAACATACATAGGAGAAACCGGACGCCAACTCAACACACGAACAATAGAACAGAAAGGAGTGCGAGAGAGAAACAAGCCGAAGACACACAAGAGCAGCAAAACAGGAAGCAGAAAGTACAATGAAGAAGTCAGCCGTAACAGATCACTGCACAAGAGAAAACCATGTAATGGACTGGGACAACACAAGGATCATAAACACCGAACAACAAAAATACAAAAGATGGATAAAAGAAGCATAAGGAGACGTGGATGTGGGACCATGAACAGAGACGATGGACAACGTCCTCTGCTGCCCGCGGATAAACAAAGGCAGTAACACCACCATCAGCGTCAGCCTGATGATGTTTGCAGCCGCAAACGAAACGCTGCAGGTAAATAAACCTTTTCTGTGTTTTAAAAAGAACTGAAAGATGGAAGCGTCTTGCAACTTTGACAACACTTCTAGTTGTCACCATCCTCTCTTGGGCAGCCCTGGGGGTGCAGCTGGCACAAGTCAGCAATAGTCAAGTTGTGCAAGAAAGTTGTGCCATTATTATCATCACCACAGTTTTGATGATGGTGTTCTGAAGATCACGGAGACGCCTCCACATGCACCTTATTCGTCCAAAAGCTTGTTCAACAACCACCCTACCATGACTGATCTTGTTCTGAAGTTGTTCCTCACAAGTCAGGGGTCCGTTGTCGCGTCGAGGGGTTACAACAAATGGAAAATCTTGCCCAATGTATGCACTGTCTTCAAGTAAGCTGTAACTAGCCATTTTCTCCTGCCATGATTCAAAGAAGGGAGAAGGCCTCAACATCCTTGCATCATGCTCCCTTCCAAGTGGTCCAGCACAAATGTCCAAGAATCTTCCTCTGTCATCTATAATCCCCTGGAGAAGGACAGAGAAGAAAGACTTTCTGATCATGTAGTCTACACCTCGCACTGGTAGCGACTGCACCCTTATATGACACCCATCGATGGCACCAATGACACCAGGGATGCCACAGAGTCGCTGAAAAGCAAGAGCAGATGTTGCTTTCTCACAGGCATTTGGTCAGGACACAAAGTTTGAGCCAAGTGTGCAAAGTATTTTAAGCACATCAACAATGATTTGGTGTGTCGCAGAGTGGGACACATCAAATGTGTCAGACATCTCTCTAAAGCTGTTTTGATTCGCCATGTACTGCAGAAACATCAGCACCTTCTTTGTCACAGGAACTGGTGGCAGGCCTTGATGGTGTTTCCTGCCTACTCCATTCTCCTGCAGCTTCATTGTCAGGTATTCAAACTGTGGTCTGGTGACCCTAAAATGGCAAGCAAAGGTGTTCTCATCCATGTGCAGCAACACCTCCCACTCTGTTCCAGTCTTCAGGAGAAGCCTCTTCGTTCTCTGCAGTAGGAGATGACAGTACGTCCTAACAAAAAGAAGAAACCAGTTTTTATTGTGCCTTTCAAGATAAAAATCACAAAGCACTTCACAGTAAGAAGAGAAAATAATAGTTTTAACTTAAATTCAATCATCACTAAATCATTATCTTATTACTCCTAAATAAACACATGAATAAATAAACACTTAATTACAAATCCGACAACATATTTGTCTTTTTTGTTTGCGTCTCACATTACAACAATATGATTTCTATCCCTTTAAAAAAAAGATTGGAGAATGGCACAACACGCAATTAAGGTTGAAAATCCTGATGAAAGACTCAACCAACAGCAATATGCTGAAAGAGGAACACCTACCTTCTTCGTCTTTGTCTCTCTTCGAATATTCTTTGAAGATGAGCTTTATGTGTGTTTATGAGTTGTCTGTGTCGTTGAGAGCTAACAAAACAGCAGTTTTCGAGGGCGCCACCATATTGGAATCCCGACTTCTCTGTCTCCGGCAACCAGAACATCGTTAACTCGGGTGTGAGGTCATTCCTAGTTCCGAGTTCCGAAGAAAATCGAACGCACCCTTAGTCCAATGTGTGGACCAGCAAAATCTCCCCACTGATGTCCACACAGTAAAGGTTAAAGTTAAAATGTGTCCACCTAAAACTATAAGGAGCAGGGCGCGCGCACACACACGCACACACACACATACATTCTGCTGATATATTGCCTACTACTAGCTTCTGCTAACCAGCCAGAGGGCTTTGAGTGAGTTTCTTATCATGACTTTACGCTTTCACACAGCGCCTCAGCAAACCTAATGGTTCTTGGAGTTCTTCCTTTAGAGGACTTGTGTGCAGCTTTGCTTTGATAATTAAGGAGGCATGTTATGCAGCCATTCTTGGTCTGGTTCTGAGGGTCCCGAAACATCCAGCCCAAGAGCAGACGTTGTCCAAACAATACTCTGTCACCTTTTCCCTGTCAAAACAAATGGCTTTCTACTGGTTGAAGCCTTCCAGGTTTCCCTACAGTTACTCACATAAGCAGTCATGTGTCAAAATAGGATTTCAATGTGAGCATCACCAAATAAAAACCCATCTTTGTGTGACAGATCCTCTAAATATTAGAGAAAAGCATTTTACTGAGTCAAGGTTTTTCATTTAGCCATAATGTAGTATTGTGGGGGAGTCAAGGACGACACAAGGTAGCTTTCGTTCACATCTTTAATCATTCCAGCACTGAGCTCTTGGACACCGTCGCACAGGGCTGTTGATGTCACTGAGATAACTCCTGAAAGGTGGAACGCTGGACAAGATTTCTGTGAGGAAGACTGCATGGCATGTCGCACCAGCAGGACACGTTGCATCATGAGCGCACCTCCCAAAAACAAATGTAACAAAGCAGACCGCTAACCAAAGCAAAGCTGAAAAGATGAAATAAACACCACTGTTAACACATTTTTTTAGTGTCAGCTCATTTCATCTTCCTCAAAGAGGAAGAATCGTTTTTCAAACTGCGTTGGCCTGTCTCCGGCTGCGAGTCTTGTTTTCTTTCTTTCTTTTTCCCGCCTGCAGCTAAACAGTTGCAAGCTCATCCTCCTTTATAAATAAAAACTCACAAAACTACAGAGAAGTAACTACTTGTCACAGATCGCTCCAATATCTAAAGTTTTGCTGTGAATTCTGTCTCCTCTCTGTGACATCTCATCACACCTAATTTCAAGGAGTGGAGCTTCCTCTGGCCCTCTGCAACAAAATGCTGCTGCACCACCCGTATGAGTAGAGATTTAGTTCTGCTCACAGAACCAGTGATTCCCATAGGGAAGCGTGGGGCTGGATGGTCAGACTACAGATTTCCACCAACAGCAAAGGGGTGATTAAACAAAGTTGTCCTATTCATAATTATTACAATAAATGATAATAAATAAAAATGTACAATAGTTTGTTTAAAATAATTCTAATTATTACAATTTTATCTTGAAGTTTTTTGTAAATAATCAAAATGATGACTATCTTATTTTGAAATGTTGATTGAGACCAGAGGTGAAGTAACAAATCAGGGGCGAATAAGAAGAAAGGGACGATCTTGTTTACAAACCTAAACGCCCCTTTGTGCAACTGGCTGGATGATATTAAAAACCGTTGCCAAGAGTCAG